CCTGAAGCTGGAATAATTCTCCAGTCTCCATCTGCCAGCCCTGGCCTAGGGCTAGTGCAGGCCTTTTTAATTTTATCAGGTGCTGAAAAAGTGGGCAGGGCTGGTTTTGTGGCTTAGCAGGTAAAGCCACCGCCTATGACAACGGTATCCCATATGAGTGCTGATTCGAGTTCTCACTACTCCAATTTCAATCTGTTTCTTTGCTAATGGCCTGGGAAAGAAGAGCAGAAGATGGCCCAAGTGCTTGGGTCCCTGCCACTCATGTGGGAGACCTGGAAGAAGCTCCTGGCTCCTGACTCTAGCCTGGTGCAGCCCTGGCTGTTACAGCCCTCTGGAGAGTGAACCAGCAGATGGAAGATTCTCTCTTTCTCTCTCTCTCTCTCTCTCTCTCATTCTGACTTTTAAAATAAATAAATAAGCCTTTTGTAAAAGATTTTTTTTTTTTATTTTGAAAGTCAGAGTTACACAGATAGAGAAGGAGAGGCAGAGAGCTGCGCTGATCCAAAACCAGGAGCCAGGAGCTTCTTCTGGGTCTCCCATGCAGGTTCAGGGGCCCAAGGACTTGGGCCATCTTCCACTACTTTCCCAGGCCACAACAGAGAGCTGGATCAGCAGTGGAATAGCCGGAACTCGAACCGGTGCCCAGGTGGGATGCTGGCACTGCAGGTGGTGGCTTTACTCGCTACACCACAGCACCAGCCCAATAAATGAATTTTAAAAAAAGAAAAAATAGAGGCAGTCCATCTATAACCTCTGAGCTCCAAGGCAAAGTCTCGTGTTCCTTCTCCCATACTCCTCAGTATTTTAAATCTTGCTCTGCTGTGTGCCAGAGGCTCAGTGAGGCTGTCTCTTGGCCTACTGGATAAGGAGGGTCCAGAGATTGAGTCTGCAGATACCAGGCTGGGAGCAGAGGCCTTGGGGCCATGTCTGGCTCCGGTGGTTGCCATGGTGGGACACAGACTCTCACTTCTGAAGTCTGGACTCGATTCCCTGTCTGTCCCCTAGGTGGCAGGTGTCTCTCTTCATGCTGTGGTACTTGGAGTTTTGGGAGGGGTGGTATGCAAGACTCTTGCCTTTCTGCTTTCTTTCATGTGTCTTTTGTTATTATTATAGTAAAACCAGGCACTGTGGTCTCTTACCTGGCTTCCGTAGCTCTGGCGAATGTGACTTAGTGTGTGAATAGCTGTTGACACTGGTGTCTTTGTGGGGAGCTGAGCATCAGAGGATCTTAATCAGTTGTCATCTCGCTCTGCTTTCTGCTTCTTAGTCCGCACAATAGAACTGAGATAGTTTCCAGGTCAGAGGGCTTTAGAGAAGTTTGGAGAAGTTCTCTTCCATGAGAGAAGTTGAGAACTGTGCCCAGCATATAGAAAGTTCTAAGTCATGTTGGATACTATTATTATATAAGCATGTAAAGAAGGAAAACAATTTGTTCAAAATTTCTGGGATTAGCAGCCCTTGCCCCTGCCCCAGGACTGCCTCTAAATAATGCATTCAGTTGAACTAATTAGATCCCTTAACTGCTTTTCCATTCTTGAGAACTGAGGTCTGTTTGAACGGGTATCTAATGAGGAATTGCTTTTATTCTTGGATGTGGCTTGTGGGTGAATTAAGTCAGTTTTAAATTAAGTTCAGAAATGAGAATATTGTCTTCCTTCCTCTCAGCTTATTTTTTCTCTATTACAGAATCACAAACGAGAGGTTTGGTGTATGAGTCTGCATATTCACAAGAGGCAAAAATACGATTTCCATAACCAGCTTCCAGTCTTCAAGGAAAAGAGCTGGCTTAATTGCTAAGTAAAGACAGAGGGTGAATTCTAGCCGAGTCTCAGGTCAGATGTAGCCCCAACCTCCCATCAAAATGAAGCCAGAGTTGTTTCAGATTCAATATGAAGCTACTGACACTTAAATATGTTAAATTTGCTAGATGTCCTCAATGACAAATCTGTATGTAAACTCGGCTGTGTGCCTGGCTTGTTTGGATCTGAATGATAAAATCAGACAGCAGCGTTTCATCAGAAAGCTTGAACAATATGTGGTAGACTAATGAAGCAGTTGGCACTTCCAAGAAATTCTAGAATGACTATTCTAGCAACGTGAAGCCTTGTGTCCTAGGATTAAACAGCTTTGGGATGGCAAAAAGCAGCAAGCATCTCTTCATATGCATAATCTCTTGCTGTATATCTTCTTTGGTGAAATGTCTGTTCAAATATTTTGTATATTTTTAAAAATTGGATGTCTTGTTTTCTTATACTAGTCTAAGAGTTGTTCTTATATTCTGGGTACATTTCCTCTATTTGAGAGAGAGAGAGAGAGGGAGAGAGGAGAGGAGAGGAGAGGAGAGATAGATCTCATTCTCCCAGCCACTGGTTCACTCCTCAGTTGCTGGGTAGCTGGGAATTCAATCCTGTGTGGCAGGGACCCAACTACTTTCCTCATCACTGCTGCCTCCCAGGGTGTACACTAGCAGGGAGCTGGAACCTGGAGCAGAGGTGGGACTTGAACCCAGACACTCTGGTGTGGGAAGCCAGAAACCTGGAACTCTACCCAGGTCTCCCACATGGGTGGCAGGGACCCAAGTGTGTGGGCTATCTTCCACTGCTTTCCTGGGCATGATAGCAGGGAGCTGGATCAGAAGCAGAACAAGCGGGACTTGAAGTGATGCTCATTTGGGATGCTGGTGCTGCAGGCTGCAGCTTACCCTGCTGTGCCACAACTGGCATTAGTAATGGCTTTATAGGAGGGAGAGTGAATGAGCACACTTGCTCTGTTTCTCTGTGTGCTGCCCTCTGTCTGTGATGCTGCAGCAAGAGGGCCCTTACCAGATGCTGAGCAGATGCTGGAGCCATGCTCTGGGATTCTCCAACCTTCAGAATTGAGAGCCAAATGAACTCTGTTCTTTATAAATCACCCAGTCTCAAGTATTTAGTTATAGCAACAGAAAACTCATTAAGGCAGTAATATGAGAACAGTGTAAAATTTGTTGAATATTGGTATGTAAATATACATGAAAAACAACCATAAACAAATTATATCGATTTTTCTTGAAAGCAGCTGTCAAACACTTGAGAATAAAAATGCATATATATGAGAAAGGAAAACATATGTGTGTGTATATGCGTATGTAGTATATATGTATGTATATACAAGAAGTATATAAGTGTATAAACACACATATTTTTATCTGTTTATTTTCATTGTCAGCTCATGCATTCCTCTGCAATTGTTTATAGTTCATTCCTATTGTTAATTATTTTCATGCCTGGGAGCCCATCTAACTGGGCCCCGTCTCCCCTTAAAATGTGCCATTGTTGTGTAAAGCACTTTTTTTAGGGCACAAGATGTTCCAGGCTCGTCTTGTACTTACCTCACCCAGCCCTGAATTCAGCTGTTTCCCTAGGAGTCCAGGTTCCTTTCAGTTTCCCCAGACTCTTCATCTCCACCTGCTAATGATGATTGCTTCTGAATAGTGGACTTGGGGATGGTAATGTGCTTTTTGTGCGGCTCTGAATTTTTCTTTTCTGTAACGAGCACATTATTTTTCCTCCCCAAAACCAATACCTGCAATAACCAGATTGGTGTTGAGGTAGGGTTTCCAACGGGAGCTTTTCTCTAGTTACTTCTTTTATGTTTTTGTCTTCTGTCCCCATTGACTGCATTTTTGAGATCAGGGAAAAGTAGTCTTGTTGGCTCACATTGAACCTTTAATCTTAGGATGAGACAGGAACTTTGCAGGGAGGTTGTGAGTTGCCACACTGCAAACCTGAAAGAGTAAGGGCTAGGCTTTGGGTGAAAAGGGAGGTTTTATGTCACATTGAGGGTGTGGAAGGCCTTATTGAGTCAATATACACAAAGTGACCTGCCAGCAGGTGGCAGAAGGAAAGGGCAGCATCTTCACGACTGAGGGCTTTGGGTCACTGTCCTACGACGTCCAACAGAGTGGGGCACACAACCTAACTGCACTCCCTTTTGGTTGAATTGTGGGCAGATGCTAAGAATAGCATCTCTCATGCCAAGGCTGATGGGCAGAGGACACTATAGGCAATGCACAGATGAACCGATCAAAGGTTAAAGTGTCCCAACATGGTTATCTGGGGTTCAGAGACTTTTAGAGAAACTATTTAATTCATTTCTTCCCCATCTTAAACAGATAAACTGGAGTTTAGAGAGAAGAGATTTGCTCAATGTTCCGGTGCTGCTTAGGGGTCTAATTAGGGTAAAAATGTGAGTTGGCTGATTTGCATGCAGTGCTGATATAGATAATTGCCCTGTCTTGCGGGGTGTGTGTGTGTGTGTGTGTGTGTGTGCATGGTTGGAGCCCAGTTTTCTTAGGACATACTTAAAAATACTTATAATGGAAGATTTCAAACATAAAATAATCAGAAGAGTAGAGTGAACTTTCATGTTCTGATCATTCAGCTTCAGCAACTCAGGAAGAATTTTGTCTTCACCCATTTCCCTGCTCCTTATTATTTTGAAGTGAATCCCACACCTTACACCATCTCTTCCTTAAAGATTAGAATATATATATACTAAAAGGTCAGTGCTCTTAGACATTCACCACGATGCCACTACACTCCTTAAAAATTAGCACTGATTCTTAAAAATCAGGAGATCTTAAAAGTCACCTGCTAACTCAGGTTTGACAAGTGTCAGCTCCTGACACAAGGTGATTACAGTATGGAAAGAAGAATAGTACCCAGGAGATGTGACACATTTTTAGAGGAGTGTGTAACAAGGATTGCTAGCCAAAATCTGGATGCTTGGTTAAATTTGAATTTTAGGTAAACAACAAATACTTTTTTAGTCTAAGTATGTCCAAAATGTTGCCTCAGATATGTATATACTAAAAAAGTATTTAAGTATATCTGAGCCTTAAAAATACATTTGTTGTTTATCTGAGATTGCAATTTCACTGGGTATCCTGCATTTTTGTTTGGTAAATCAGGCAATGCGTTATAAAATATTTAAAATGTATTTTATTTGTTCTACAGGGATAGAAAGAGAGAGAGAGAAAGAGATCAATCTTCAGTCTGCTGGCTTCCTCTCCAAATACCTGCAGCAGCTGGCGCTGAGTCAAGTTGATGCCAGGAGCTGGGAAATCAGTTTGTGTCTCCAACACAGAGGTCAGGTACCTATTTGAGCCATTGCTTGCTTCCTCCCAGGGCATACAGTAGCTGGAAGCTGGAATGCAAGGTGAAGTCAGCACTCAAACTCAGGCACTCCAGTATGATATGTGGACATTGCAAGCTGTGTCTTACCACTATGCCAGTCACCCATTCATAAATCAGGCATCTTTTAATGCCACTGGGGAAGGGAGGGTTTTAAGGCTTCCTGGAGGAGGAGACGCATCTGTAAGAAGAGGTAGGCATACCAATATGGGCCTGGGAATGGTAGGTAAAGGGATGTAGAATTCTGGAGTACTCTCCTCCTCTCCTTCCACCTCTCTGGAAGGCCTCTGGAAGCTTCCTGCCTCCTAGTCACCTGAAATAGGCAAAATTCAAATATACTGCTACTGCAATATTGGCCACATGCCAGATACCATTTGTATCTTAAAATGAATGCAAATTGCCTCCATCCTCTCAAAAATTTTGCTGGGACAAGTGTTCCCGTTTTACAGGTGAGGAAAATGAACTTGGGAGGGTTGGTGCGATGTTTCCAAAGTCAACCAACTTGGGATGGCAGCAGATTTCAGACCCAGGTGGGTTTACCTTCCACATCTATATGCTCAAATGATGCTCTCGGTTACGTGTAGGCCCTAAGAAACAACTGGATATTTTGGAGAGCCAACCTGGAATATCCTAGTTGGATACAGGCTTCGGACTGTGCCATTGAATTTCTCAGCCCCTAAAGTGATTCTGAACAGGAGAAGATGCTTCTATGCTTGGTCTAGGGTGAAGCCACAGGGTCTACTGGGGGCCAGGTCTGGCCTGGAGAGGTGGGACAGGGAAACGAGTTTAGTTCTAATTCCCTGATATGGTGGAGTTCAAGCAAGGCAGAGCCAGGAATGACAAGTCAGGATAGGGATTTTCATCCGGGAAAATGGGGAAGTGGAAGAAAGGCTCAGAAGCTGTTTGCATGGTAGACAGTCTTTGGAGCAGACACCGTGGGTCTGCGACTTCTAGCAGCATGCCTGGTCAAGTCACTTGAAACCTCTGAGTCTTGGATTTCTGGTAAGTGTGGTTTAACTTGAGGTGGTGGGAAATGCTTGCAAAAACCCTTAGAAGCTCCAAGTGCAATAACTGATAGCTATATCATCATCGTCATCATCATCCTTCTTATTACTATTATTGAGGAACTAGTAATTCTGAGCTACCTTATCCTGGAACCCCGACTGTTGTTTGCCTTCCATGTTTAGTGAGCACTTGCTAATTTGTGCCTAACTTTGGGTAGAAAAGAACACAAGGAACTCAGTCTGCTGGCCATTTAACCACCTACCCCCCTCCCACCCCACCCCCCACTGCAAAAAAAAAAACAAAACACACAACTCAAACGACCAAAAAAAAAAAAAAAAAAAGCAAAACCGAAACCAAAACCAAAACAAACAAAAAACCCTAGACCATTCAAAATGAGAGGGATGGAGTCAGGGACTGTGGGAGCCTAGTAGCTTCAAGCTAGTCCAAGCCCAAAAAGGAACTCACTGGCTGACTTAATTGAGAGGTTCGGGGGCTGTCTGGCTTCATGAATTGCTGTCCTCCTGTGAGACCTGAGCCAGGTGCTTGCACAGTGTCACTGTGAATCCGTCTCTCTTCATCTCGCAGCTCTGGCTGCTTTTCTATTGTCTTCAGTCTCAGTCAGCTCTCTCCAAGTGTGGTTTCCAAGGGCTTAAGAACCCTAGTGGAAAAATAAAACCTTTCCCTTAACACTTTCAGCACCGACTCTTTGTCTTGGATTAGATGCATGTCTGTCCTTGTAATTCCCCCCGCCACACACACACACACACACACGCACACGCACACGCACACGCACACGCTCAGCATCATAAGCCCATCTATCTCTGAAGGACCACCTAGTTCATTTTCCAAGGGGAAACTGAAGCATGGTTATAGGAAGCCGGGGTGGATACTCGGTAAATGAAACAGCAAACCTATACTCGAGCAGTGATGGGTAGAAGGTCTGTGAGAAACTTGTAGAATGAAGGGAATCCTGTTTGAAGCCACCAATTCCTAAAAGTATGGCTTAGAAAAATAATTTATTTGAAAGGGATGGAGAGAGAGAGAGACAGATAGACATAAAGATACAGAGATCTCTCATCCACTCATTCTTTTCCCAGATATCTGCAATAGCTGGGGCTGGGCCAGGTCGTAGTGGGAAGCTGCTAGAGCCAGGCTTCTTCCTGACCCCTTGCAGCTTGGTTCTCTTACCCTGTTTGTGCTTTGGGAAGGATCCCTTTGTTGTCTAGTTAATTAGCCAGTCTGAGTCTGTCATGCGGGGCCTTGACTGGTCTGACAGCATATACACTTGGAGGTGATAGGCAATCAAATGGGTCCCCCAGTCAAGTGTGTCTTTGGGAAGAGCCCCTTGTCATCTTTTCTGAGGCTGCAGAAAGGGCCTTTCAAATACATGTGCCTGCAGCATGTTGGCTGGAAGTGAGAAAGACAAAGAACTGGACTGCAGGCTTTGTCACCAGTGGCTATCCAGTCAAGGTCCTGTGTGATTTGTAATCTAAAGCAAGCTTAATAGGAAACATGTATTTTAGCTTCATCTTTCTCTCCTTCTAATGATGTTTACTTTGCAAAATGCTTCTCATGATTTTCTAACTGCATCTATCTGTCAGCCTTCTCTTTTGTACCAAGAGCACAAATACTTCATAGATCCAATTTTGTTGGGAGGAAGCTGACTCTATTAATTATTCTCTGAAATGGGACTTCTGAAACCCAGCAGTAGAACTAAATAAGAACCTGAGAATTATCACAAGAGCATGAAAAAATATTTCTACCCAAATATATACCATAAAATCAAGTCAAACCACCCATTATGTACTCACACTCCTTCACCATCCTGTCATCACAGACCGTTGGCCTACTCCAACCAGAAGCCAGAAAACAAGGTTGTCTTGTCTATGCAGTCCGTAGAGGTCAACCTTACCAGAGGTAGAGCTGGGTACAACAGAGTGAAGAGAAGAGCTGAGAGACAAATAGAGAGGAATCATCATACCTCCTGCTACTTCCACCATTCATCTCAAACCTTTGCAGAATGTCCACTAGTCAAGATCCAGTGAAAATTCCAGTTGTGGCCACATGATGTAGAAGGTTCAGCCTCCATTTCCACCTCTGTTCTCAGAGGTCATCTGTTAGAAAGTGATTCTGATCAGAAGGGGTAGGGAAGTGGCAAAGCAGGATGGGGAGGAGGCTAAGTAGAGGGGTGTGTCTCAGTGCTGCAAGGGAGGCCTGGGGTCAGCACACACTGGCTTTGCAGTTGACCCAACCACTGAGCAGGGGCCAGACTAGTCGAATTCCCACACAAGTCAGTGGTGAAAGATGTGCATTTCTCTGAGCTTCCAAGGTAAAGTGGCTCTAGCAGTCTCTGGTTAGACACCAACAAAGTGTCACAGGTTCTGGCTGTTTGGTGTTGAAGCTCTCTAGTGCCTGATATGCATTAAAGTAGTAAGGGAACCGACAAAGCTGGCACGGTGTCCCGACAGATCTTTTGTTGCACCTATCTTCTCGATAGTTCTGGAGGGGAAGATGAGAATCCTTTTCTGTAACTTCATATATGTCTTTGTAGTATCAGCATCCAGCCCCAGTGATGCCTTCATGATTGTATGGCTTAGGTATTTACACAGCACTCAAAAGGGCCCCTTACTTGGTTTAATACTCTGCTGTCACCATACTGACATGCTTAATATTGGTTGATCAAGCAGCCCTGAAGTTTTGTTTTGCACTGGGCCTTATATAGCCAGAGCTGTCTAGCACAGTGTCTGGCACACAGAATGCATCCAGTGTATTTTTACTGAGTGAAGAAATGAATGCCTGACAGTCAGTCACTATGTGGCTAACAAATGCGGCTAAATGAGTGCACCATGAGCAGCTAACGCCTTATGTCTTCAAGCTGGAAGATGAGGAAGCTGGAGCTGAGTCTTGCCATCTGACCTCCCACCCACGCCCCCCTTCCAGTCTTCACACCTCGCTAGAGCCCCACGAGGCAGGGGGAGGACTTGTTTATTTTGAGCTACTATTTATTTTTCTCTCTCCATGACTTGGAAAATTCTTGGCATCAGGCAGCACTATTTTTATTTCCTCAGCAGAATAATTAAATTTAGGCTCAGTCGCTTTTCTTCAGCAGGGAGGCTGTGGGCAAAACAGGATGAGCAGGCTGCAGCAAGGTCTGTTGGGGCTGGGGTTGCAGGGAGACAAGGCACAATGATCGGGAGCACATTTGCCGTGGCCTCACGTGGGGTGGAAGGAATGAAGGCTTTGCTGACATCAGCCAATTTGACCTTTCTGATGTGCAGGGAACCCACAGATGTGTCACAGAATCCTCAAGCTGGATGGAACTATAGAAATGACCTAAACCATAGCTCATGGGCGAAATCTGGCCAATCACCTGATTTTTTAAATAAAGTTTTGTTGGAATGAAGTCGTGGCTATTTGTATATTGTGTGCAAGAGCTTTCGGGATACAGCAGATGGAGCTGAATAGCTGTGGCAGAGGCCGTATGACCTGCAAAGCTAAGAATACTTACTGTCTAGCCTCTTACAGACAGTTTGGTGACCACTGACCTAAACAGGGAACACTCAATTTTGTTATGTGGAGCATTACTGTATTAGTCATCTTGCATGATTGCAACCAAATACCTAAGGAAACTAACTTTATAAAGAGGAATGATTGATTAAGCTCACAATTTTGGAGGTTCAAGTTCAAGAATGGGCAGCATCATTGCTTTGATCTCTAGTGAGGGCACTAGAAGGTAATGGCAGGATCACATGTTGGAGCAAGTGGTTCCATTTCAAACCAGGAAGAGAGAGATAATTTGGTACAAAGGCAGACTTTATAGCAACCCTTTGGGAAGAACTGCCTTCTTGGGTTATGCATTCTTGTGACCTAAAGACTTCCCACTAGGCCTCAACTCATGAAGGTCCCACCACCTATCAAGAGTACTGTGTTGGAGACCAAGCTTCTAACATATTGAGGGGTACCAAACTATACTAAGTATTAGTCCTTGAGGATGGTCTATCTAAAGTAGATTTTGTGGTCACATATATTAGGAAAATGTACAGCTTTAGTCTGCTGGAGCTTCACAAATCACATTCCATGATTGTAGGAGACTGTTCCTGCTCTGCCCATATTCTCAAGATTTGTGGTCTTTCCCTATGTTCGTTCGTTCGTTCGTTCTTTCTTTTTTTTTTTTTTTCTTTTTTTTTTGACAGGCAGAGTGGATAGTGAGAGAGAGAGAGAGACAGAGAGAAAGGTCTTCCTTTTGCCATTGGTTCACCCTCCAATGGCTGCCACGGCTGGTGCGCTGCGGCCGGCGCACTGCGCTGATCCGATGGCAGGAGCCAGGTGCTTCTCCTGGTCTCCCATGGGGTGTAGGGCCCAAGCACTTGGGCCATCCTCCACTGCCTTCCTGGGCCACAGCAGAGAGCTGGCCTGGAAGAGGGGCAACCAGGAAAGAATCCAGCGCCCCGACCAGGACTGGAACCCAGTGTGCTGGCGCCGCTAGGTGGAGGATTAGCCTATTGAGCCGCGGCGCCGGCTACCTGTTTTCTTTTCTTTTTTTTTTTTTTTTAAAGGGTAGTCATGACCTTCTTTATTTACAAGCACAGGGTGAGTCCCTAACCTCCCCCAAGACAGCAGTCCTACCCGCCCAGTTTAATACTGCAACTGGGGGGCAGGGAAGGTTTGAAGGAGGAGTTCAGGGAAGTACAGGACTAGGGGAACGTACCCCAAATTAAATAGTTATATACACACCAGTTCCTGTGGTTCTGTACAAAGCAGCGGCTGACCCCACCCCCATAGGACATGGAATGTGGGAGAGGAGACAGGGTACTGGGGCCAGAGCCAGCCCCTGGTGAAGTGCAATAGAAGCAGCAAGGTCCTAATGGTGCAAAAGAACCCCCAGGGCTACCCACCCCCACCCTGCCCTGGAATGTGTAAGGGAGAGGGATGGGTTCAGGGAGCACATAGGAAGAACTAGGCTAGAACCGTCTTGAGGACCCAGGTTTAGGGGCGACGTTTTGCCTACTTCACCCTAAACTGCAATCCTTGGAGGAAAGCAGATGGCCAGCAATGGTCTTATCCACCCCTCCAAACCAAATGAAGGCCTGGTTCCTTCCTACCTCTCCCCAGGGAAAAGGAAGGCAGCTGCTTGGCTTCCTCACAGAAGCCCAGGGAGTCATCCCAGCTCCCTTGGTAGTGTCACTGTCCCCACCAGGGAGGGGCCAGGCACAGTCTGTGGGTCATCGTGGGGCTCAGGAGAAGTTCTGGACAGGGTGGCTGACCTTCATGCAGGCCCAATAGAGGGCCCTGCCCAAACACAGCACAGCCAACAGGATCACAAACGCCCAGGCTGCGTAGATGCCTCCATACCGCCGTGCATGCTTCCGTGTGCCAAAAGCAAGGCCAGTAGCAGTGACCACAAAGAGTAAACCAAGCAAGAAGCAACAGACACATCTCTTTCGTGGGTATCTGCGCCCAATAGATGACACTTTCCTGCAGTGAGGGCAACGCGCCAAGGTTCGGTCTGTGAACTCTGTCCACAGGAAAGTATTCTTGCAATGTCCACAGGTGACTCTGACACCCACGGGCTGTGGTTCTGGACTCAGAGGTCCTGGGTGCACAGGTCCGAGGTTGATGATTCTTTTGCAGTAGGGCCGAGGACAGGCAATCCGCTGGGAAGTCACTTTGCAGATAAGGAGGCAGTTACAGGGACATCGGACATATTTTTTTTCCTGGAGGTGCATTCTTGATGGGAGTGGCTTCGTTGCAGACACCACATTTGACTACATGCTGATGCATCTTGCCTTCCACATTGATGAGAGAATGGCAGACTCGGCAGGTGATCATGGGGGCGCTCCCACTATCCGGGCTGGTCAGCGGTGAGTAGGGGGGTGGGTCCTCCCCAGGCAACACAGCTGGGTGCCCCTCGGGGAACGGGGGGAATGCGGAGGGGGTCAGGCCTCCCCCGGGCCCAGCCCCACTCCCTCCCGGCCCCACTAAACCGTTGCCGCCAGCGCCTCCGTCGATGGGTTCGGACAGCAGCGGGGAACGCTCTCCATCCGCCGCCATGGCCGCTACAGACGCCTCCCGCTCTGGTCAGCTATCCGGCTGCTTTCGCCGCCGCTGTCGCCGCAGCCGCCGCCACCGCCGCCACTACCGGGTCCCCCACTGTTTTCTTTTCCTTTTGACCTAGGAAGCACCTGTAATGGTGTGCAGGGCAGGGTGGGAGTACCCGGAAGTCAGTGCCTCAACCAAGGATGTGTGGTGGTTGGGAGAAAGTTCCATAGCTTCTTGTCTTTTGGTTGGGACAAATTGGAGGCATGTTTTCCCTTCTCTCTCTCCAGTTTCTCACCAGTGGGACTGAACTCTAGGTGTGCACCTAGTGAAGCTGCTCACTGATGTATCCTGTGTTGATTGGTTTCACTTCCCCTGGTGAAGCTGCCTGAAACCATCTTGCAAATTAGCTAATTCTACTCTAATTCTTATCTCAGAGTATGCTTCTAGGGGAACCCCAACTAAGATACCTACTAATTAAGGAGTCTGAGAAGTCCTTCAGTAAACACATATGTCTTCTTTGTGAGGCCCTCAAGGCTTTTTTGGATCTGGCCTCCATCCAACTTCCCAGCCCAATTTTTTCACACATCACCCACAGCTTTGTTTTATGGTGCATTTGGGTCACAACAAACTTTTGTTTTCAGTTCATTGGAGCTGCCATGCTCTTAACAGTGTCACTTTTTCCCTGTTGCCTTGCCAGTTCTTATGCATCTTTCAGACCTATTATCTGGGAAGTCATCCAAATAAAAAAAAGAAAACAAAAACCAGGGTTGGGTGTTCATGCTGGGCATTTTTGTGTTTTTCCTGTCACTGGAACTTCTTGAACAGCATAATTTCTGGTTTCCCTCTAAACAACTCAGTGAGAACAAATACCTGGACTGTCTTGCTCCATCAATTGTATCTCAGAGCCCAGAAGAAGTGTTTGATGAATATTTGTTGACTTAGTGAAAGGAAGATTGAGTGGTTCTTCTCTATAAGGCCTTGTCTTTGGCCTGTTGTGTCCACTTTACCAGGAATCACTTACCTTTGATAGCCAGTTAGGTTCTTCATCTTCTCACTATTGCTACCTAACCAAATTCTGTTAATATTTTTCCGTCCATTCCTCTCACCCTGATTGTTGGCTATCAACCCCCAGCTGGTACTTTGTGTTCATAATTAAGTTCAATAGTAGTCTTCCTCACGTGCTTAGCTTGGAGTTGAGCTCAGTTTTATAAGAAAATCTCTCCTCTATTTTTTTTTTTTCTGACAGGCAGAGTGGACAGTGAGAGAGAGAGACAGAGAGAAAGGTCTTCCTTTGCCGTTGGTTCACCCTCCAATGGCTGCCGTGGCCGGCGCACCGCGCTGATCCAATGGCAGGAGCCAGTACTATCCTGGTCTCCCATCAGGTGCAGGGCGCAAGCACTTGGGCCATCCTCCACTGCACTCCCTGGCCACAGCAGAGAGCTGGCCTGGAAGAGGAGCAACCAGGACAGAATCCGGTGCCCCGACCGGGACTAGAACCCAGTGTGCTGGCGCCGCAAGGCAGAGGATTAGCCTAGTGAGCCGCGGCGCTGTCCTAGAAAATCTCTCCTATTGAAGTAACACAAAGCCTGTCTTGCCATTTTAAACAAGTGTCTGTTGCAATTCCTCTTTAACAGAATGGTCTGCTGCTTTATATTTGCACATCGGTCCAGAACAGCTGAGAGTTGTACTCCTAACCCCCAACTTACAAGCATTTTAACTGTGATGAGTCAATGTGAGTGATAATTGACAGAGATCTATTTCCTGTCTCTGCACAATTCATCTTTTACCCACCTGAGTCCCTAGCCTTTCCCTGTCTTTGTCACACCTGTTCCTGATTTCCCATACGAGTGTCTCATCTTTGTAAAAGACATGGATTTTTCCATCTTCTACACAAGGTTCAATCATGAACCATTTCCCAAAGTATTCCAAGGAATACCTGGAATTACCACAAGGCAGACCTCCCAAGATATCACAAGTATTTTTTGAATACTTATGATGTGCAAAGCACTGTTTACATGATGAAAGTCAGGGGAGGGTCTTCCTCTGTTTTGATTTCTCCCCTAAGCAAATGCCGGAATAAGGGCTTAGGTGCAGGAAGTTTTTTTTTTTTTAAATATATAGAAAGCTTTTATTTAATATATATAAATTTCATAAGTACAACTTCTAGATTATAGCGGTATGTGCAGGAAGTTTAATGGAAGGCAATATTAGGAAGATTGGCAAGTTGAATCAAGAAAAAGAAAAGAAAGCAATATAAGTAAGTTGATGAGTAGGATGTTTCTGTGGACAGTGGGGGCTCAGTGGCACTGGGGATCTTCTGGAAACTGTGAGAGACTTGCCTCATGATGAGAACATGGTAAGGCTGATGAAGTTACCCGCTGACTCCTGTACCCCATTGCTCCTCTGTACATCTGAATTACCCCTGCCTGCTGTAAAACAAATTCCTGGAGCTCCAGGGACAAAGAGAGACACATATACTTGAGATAAGACACTTTCCATATGCTGGCAATAGTCTAACTGTGGTTACAGATACACCTGGGTGAGCTGGGAGAATATGGGATGGACATTAGTATCATTTTCTACAGAGGTGGCATTGAAAATATATGGCAGCTGGGCCGGCGCCGCGGCTCACTAGGCTAATCCTCTGCCTAGCGGCGCCGGCACACCGGGTTCTAGTCCCGGTTGGGGCGCCAGATTCTGTCCCGGTTGCCCCTCTTCCAGGCCAGCCCTCTGCTGTGGCCAGGGAGTGCAGTGGAGGATGGCCCAGGTGCTTGGGCCCTGCACCCCATGGGAGACCAGGATAAGTACCTGGCTCCTGGCTCCTGCCATCGGATCAGCGCGGTGCGCCGGCCGCAGCGCGCTGGCCGCGGTGGCCATTGGAGGGTGAACCAACGGCAAAGGAAGACCTTTCTCTCTGTCTCTCTCTCTCACTGTCCACTCTACCTGTCAAAAAAAAAAAAAAAAAGAAAATATATGGCAGCTAACATGGCCTGGGCGCAGACCATTCAGAATGATCACTGTGTGTGTACATTTGCTGTGGGCATGCCTGTGAGTACACAGTGACAGGTGACACGAGATGAAGAACTCCAGTTCTCAGGCTGGAGACATTCAGGCACAACTCCTATGGCTTCTGTGACAACCTACTATTCCAGAGCTTCTGCATCATACCCAGATAGGCTCAGAGGATTGAAAACAAACATTAGAGATAAGATCCTAATCAGGCTGATTCTGAGTACGGTATCTGAGGGTACAGACAAAAGCCTCCCCTTTCTTTTTATCCTCACCACCTGTCTCTAGCTTAATTTCAGAAGAGTTCCAGGAGTCAAGACATCCCTGTTCACTCCCATACAGAGATCCTAGAGATGAGAAGTGATGTTCGTTCACTTTCTCTTCTCCCATCTTCATTTCAGAGACAGAGGTGAAGGGAAATCGAGCAAGGACTGCTCGTGAGCAGTAAACCACACTGCTGTGCAATTTCATGTCTTTGGTATTCTGCCCACACTTTTCATGAGGGGCATCACACTCTTTCCTTGAAAAACAAAGCATCAGAAAACTTGGGGTTCTCCTTTTACCAGCTTTCATTTCATTATTGATTTTTTTTTGCACTTTGATTTTTTTTACTTTTATTTAGTAAATATAAATTTCCAAAGTACAGTTTATGGATTACAATGGCTTCCCCCCCCCCATAACTTCCCTCCTACCCGCATCCCTCCCATCTCCCACTCCCTCTCCCATTCCATTCACATCAAGATTCATTTTCAATTATCTTTACATACAGAAGATCAATTTAGTATATATTAAGTAAAGATTTCAACAGTTTGCACCCACACAGAACATAAAGTGTAAAATACTGTTTCAGTACTAGTTATAGCATTAATTCACACTGGACAACACATTAAGGACAGAGATCCCACATGAGGAGTAAGTACACAGTGACTCCTGTTGTTGACTAACAATTTGACACTCTTGTTTATGGCATCAGTAATCTCCCTAGGCTCTAGTCATGAGTTGCCAAGGCTATGGAAGCCTTTTGAGTTCACCGACTTCGATCTTATTCAGACAAGGTCATAGTCAAAGTGGAAGTTCTCTTCTCCCTTCAGAGACAGGTACCTCCTTCTTTGATGGTCTGTTCTTTCCACTGGTATCTCACTCACGGAGATTTTTCATTTAGGTCATTTTTTTTTTTTTTACAGAATGTCTTGGCTTTCCATGCCTGAAATACTCTCATGGGCTTTTCAGCCGGATCCGAATGCCTTTAGGGCTGATTCTGAGGCCAGAGTGCTATTTAGGACATCTGCCATTCTATGAGTCTGCTGTGTATCCCGCTTCCCATGTTGGATTGTTCTCTCCCTTTTCTATTCCATCAGTTAGTATTAGCAGACACTAGTCTCATTTGTGTGATTCCTTTGACTCTTAGACCTAGCAGTATGATCAATTGTGAACTGAAATTGATCACTTGGACTAGTGAGATGGCATTGGTACATGCAACCTTGATGGGATTGTATTGGAATTCCCTGGCACATTTCTAACTCCACCATTTGGGGCAAGTTGATATTTTAAGTATCAAATAATGCAAGACACCCAATAGTAGAAATACAAGATTACTTCAAGAAGTTTGTGGAAAATGAAATTAAAAGATAAACTTATTTTGATGCTCAAAGTTTTTAAATCCATGCATAGTTTTTTGCAGAATGTGAATTTTCCATGAATAGTCTGAAAACCCTTGTATGCATGGATTCCAATTTATTGTACCAAAATGAACTTAACCACAAACTTTTTTTTAAAGGTAGAGTTACAGACAATGAGATAGAGAGGAGGAGAGAAAGGTCTTCCTTTTCCATTGGTTCACCCCCCAAATGGCCGCTATGGCTGGAACTACACTGATCCAAAGCTAGGAGCCAGGTGCCTCTTCCTGGTCTCCCATGAGGGTGCAGGCGCCCAAGCACTTGGGCCATCCTCCACTGCCCTCCTGGGCCACAGCAGAGAGCTGGACTGGAACAGGAGCAACCGGGACTAGAACGTGGTGGCCATATGGGATGCCGGTGCTGCAGGCAGAGGATTAGCCATGTGAGCCACGGCGCCGGTTCCAACCACAAACTTTTTTTTTTAACTTTTATTTAATGAATATAAATTTCCAAAGTACGACTTATGGATTACAATGGCTTCTCCCCCATACCGTCCCTCCCACCCACAACCCTC